GAAACTGCTTATAGAAGCCCTGAGCTCTGTTTTCTCATCTAAAATGAGGACTAGATCACCCGGTTCCATATGCTCTTAATGGACAATGAGACACTGGCTTTGATCTTCACGGGGAATGGGGAGAATTTACTCCAAAGTGGACTCTCTGCCTCCACCTATCGCCTATCCCATTATTGAAATGAACGCTTCTAACCATCTGCACCCTGCAGGAAGGTGGGGCATGCTGCCAAAAACAACAGATGGCCATCAGTTAGTTTGGTTTAGTACTCCTTCCGCTATAGCCAAAGAATTTCTCAAGTTGTTATAACCAAATTACAAACAGAAATGTGAAGACTCACACAGCATTTGGGCCATGTCCCCTTTCCCTGCCATGTTGTCTGAAGTAGAAGGCTCTACTCCTGAGAATTCATACAACCAGGGGAAGGTGCCAAGCGGGGGGGGGAACAGCAGCAGTTTCAAGTTCAGTCAGCCAATTCTCCCTCCCCACACCTCAGAGCAAGAACGTGCAGTCATAAGGAGGACTCAGTATGTAGAACCGTGGTAGCAGAGTGGGTATCCTGAAAGTTTAGAAAGGTATATACTGGAGGAGACTGGAATGCACGATGAAACTATCTTAATCCCACTACATAAAATGTCATTTCTCTAAAACAAAGTTCTTGAGAAATTGTTGAAATAATTCAACTTTGGCTACTCTTCTGTGTAGAATGTATTCCAGCTGTTGACCTCAAGGAATCAAATTTAAAAGACACAAAACAAACAAAACCACAAACCTGATGGAAAGTTATAAAACGTCTGCCTTGGATTCTATCCCTGGTCTGTTTCTAACTCCCTTCTCCGAGTCTTGAGTTCTGCACCAACTCTGAAACCAGACTACACGAGCTCTCATTCCACCAGTTCAGTAACCCTGTTAGACTTTACCCCGAGACACCCAGGCTTCTATGTGCCACTTGGGTTTGCAGAGTGAAGTTGGCTGCCACGACTGTGCCTGAGTAGCTTTACTGAGCACGCACGCACACACGGACTCATTACTTTCTAGAGGAGGGGCTAAACAGCCTACTGAAAGGCAGCATACACTACTGCCTTCTGTGGTGGCCCATGATACCTATGGCACCTGAACAGGAGGGCTTTTGTAAAATCAAATGCATCAGTAAGTGGTACCCTAGCATGTTTTTAAAAAATTATGCAGCAGAAATTAAAAAAGATCTAAAAAAATGGAAAGAAATCTCATGTTCATGGATTGGAAGACTTAAGAGTGAGAAGATGATGAGTCCCCAAGGCAATCTACAGATTCAATGCAATCCCTATTAAAATTCCAACAGCCTTTTTTTGGTGCAGAAATGGAAAAGCTGATCCTCCAATTCATATGGAGCTGCAAAAGGCCCTCAAAAGCAAAAATATATTGAAGGACCGAGTTTGAGGACTCACATGTTCTGATCTTACTATGAAGCCACAACGATGAAAACAGTACGGTACCACTACAGGACAGGCACACAGATCACAGAACAGAATGGGAAGTCCAGAAATAAACCCACATCTCTCTGGCCAGCTGAGTTTTGACGAAAGTGCCAAGCATTCACTTAGTGAGGGAAAGAACAGTCTCTTCAACAAACGGTGCTAGGACAACTGGGTATCTACATGCAAAGAACAAAACTGGTTGTTACCTCACACTATACACAAACATTAACTCAAATGTGACCTAAATGTAAAAGCTAATACTATAAAACTAGGAGAAAATATCTGAGTAAATTTTCATGTCCTGGGATTTGGCTATGGAGTCTTAAAACATGATACCAAAACACAAGTAACAACAACAAAAACAGACATTGGAACTCATCAAAATTATAAACCTGCGTGCTTCAAAAGGCATTATAATGAAAGTGGTTAAAACACACAATAGGAGAAAATATTTGTAAATCATATAGCTAGTAAGAGTCTATTACCTAAAATGTATAGAGAACTCTTGCAACAATTCAGCAACAGCAAAATAAACAACCCAATTCAAAAATGGGCAAATTTTTTAATGGGCTTGAATAGATGTTTCTCAAAACAAGATGTACAAGAAACATGCAGAGATATTCAATCATTAATCGCTAGGAAAGTGCAAATCGAAATCACAAGTTATCACTTCATATGCGCTAGGATTAAAAAAAATAGTACTGGAACTACCATACATTGCTAGTGGGAATGTAAAATAGTGCCCCTGTTATGGAAAACAGTCTGGTGGTTCCTCCAAAAGTTGAAGACAGAGTTACCTATGAGTCCAATGCCATTCCTAGGCATACATACACCCAAGAAAAATAAAAGCTTGTTACACAAGTGTTTATAGCAGTATTCATAATGACCAAAAACAACCCAAATGATCAACAACAAACGGATGGACAAATTGCTGCATACTGCATACAATGAACCATTTAGCAAAAAGAACGAAGTACCGATACATGCCACTATGCAGCTGAACCTCAAATCCATATGGTGAGTGGCAGAAGCCAAACACCACTGTATGACACACCCAGCACAGGCCAATCCATGCAGACGGAAAGCGGACTGGGGGTTGCCAGGGGCTGGGAGAAGGGGGACACAGGCATGACTGGTTCACGGGATTTTCTTTTGGTGTAATGAAATGTGAAATATTTCAGACTATAAAATAGTTACTTTTAATGTTCTGTAAATTTCTCAATTAAAAAATATCTGTAGATAAACCACTTTTCAAACAACTTAAAAAAACTACATAGAAAGAGATCATATCAAGTGCTGAATTCTACTCACAGAACAAATGTTTATAAACTTAAAAAGAAAAATGAGTGAAGAAATTAGAACTTTGAGAAGAAAATAGACTCTCAAGCAAATGATTACATTCCCAAAGTTCTAAGTATTCCATGTATTTATACACTAAAGACAATGAAAAGATTAAAAAATAAAAGCAGATTTCATTAGCATTCTGGTGTGGCAGTTTTAAAACAAGAACAAGCAGTGTTAAAAAAATGAGTGTTAAAAAGATAGGTACGTTTTATGTACTGTCCTCATCAATAAAAGACTTGTGGAAGATTTGGAAGAATTCACATCTCTCAAGCGGCACACAGCAAGTCTTACCTCCACCATGAGGAGATAATGAAACAGGACCAGTCTATTACAGGATGTGAGCGAAAAATCTTACATTCTAGAGGGCAGACAGTTCACATTTTCAGCACACTTAAAAAACTAAAACCGTTTCTCAACATCTTATGTTGTATCTAGTCGTTTCCTTTTTTAAATACTGCAAATTTAGCTCCATTTTTTAAAAAAAAAACATGATTTTGCTCAAATGGCTGAGACATGGTTTGGGATAAAAACCTTTAGTTCAGAATCTGTACTCCTCAGTGGTGAGTCCTTTCTGCTTTGATTCTTAAGCAATGGAATTCTAATGCCCAGATAAGTAGAGAAATCTGGGCTGGAAAGCTACAGAACAGACCCAAATCTCTGATCATCTCTTTGCCTTAATGACCGCTCAGGGCACCCAGGGAACCACTGGGCATACAGACGCTGGAACAATCCCCCCAAATGGGGAGTAAAGCACAATTGTGAGGAAGGGGAACGAACAAAGAGTTAATGACTCTACCAGGCCCATCCCTTCCCAAAGACCGTCGTCCTCTCTGGTTGCTTGCCACCCAACAACAGCTGCTCATGATAATCAATGTCTGACAGATCAGAGAAAGCCCTTAATGTGTCGCCAAGGGGCAGTTCAACAGATGGCATGGTGACTTACAACCAGAATCATTAATTACACTCTCTTATTAGTCCCGGGGCACAGTGCTAAAAATGCTTCCTCGGTGAAAGACGCGAGTTTCAGATAAATGACCGTCTGGTATTGCCTGGAAACTCCCTTTAGGATTTTTGGTCAGTGTTGACTTCTAAATCCAAGCCATACTATTTTTACAGCCATTTCCCATCTTCCACTTTCAGTCTGGCCAGGAATATAAAGTTCCCAATACCACTACCCATCATCACTCTCATAATCACCGAAGGTAAGGATGTGATAAAAAGTACCTGTCGCTCATTTCCCTTCTCAAGTCAATGACTGTGTTCAAAGGCAAACAACAATCTCAGCCACCGAAGCAGCTCAATGCCCCCTCCCTTGGCACCCGAGAGAGCAGTGTTTCCTGAGTGCAGAGTGCAGCAGGAAGACTACCCCCCCGCCATCGGCTCTGGGATTTCTTGCAACATGTGATTAGTTCTCCAACTCAAAACTGTCCTCCTGTCCCAACCACTGGCGGCAACTCTTCTCTGTGTCTCTTAAGGAAAGAGGGGCAGACTCTCCTGAAAGGAAGTCTAGTAGCCTGGAGCAAGGAAAAGTTCCCAGATGTCCTCCATGGTGGTTGTGACACCCCAAGGGACTAAGCACCAATGTCAAACCACCACGAACTTAATTAAGAATCCAAACAAATGCATGGAGAAGAACTATTTCTTCCCACAGGCATTCACACTAATGTCACCTCAGGGTAAAAACTGGTCCCTTTCCAACAGATTGAGAACTGGCTCCCTACACATGACTGAAATTTTAGAACTAATCACAGACATGGCTTGGAGGCAAACTACTTATTAGCTTTAGCATGATTAAGTCAGAAATAAATCTTAATATAATCCAAAAAGAAAAATTTTAAGTATTCCCCAGATACCACCAAATAAAGTCTTTGATTTTGCTGACTCCTGTTCTTTTTGTACCTCAATCTACAATTTTTAAAAAATATGAGTTCAAACTAAAACAAGGTTAAGATCCTAAATGCTATGATTTAGGAGTTCATCATGTGTTTCCTATATTCCAATTTGTTCTTTCTTAGATACATAAAAATGTGACTTCAATTTTCAATTAGTTCACACAGTTGCAATATCTGAATGATGTTCTCATCACATGCATTTTTAAAAGACAAAAAAAAAGTGTTAATTAAGGCATAATAAAAACCTCCTAATGCGGGCTATAGGAAAGGAAACTTGGGAGGTCCAGGTCTGCCTTGCGAGGTACTCACTTCTAGTTTTTTCTCCTTTTCTGACAAAACATCTTTCTGGTTCTGGGTATACTCCACCAACATCCGAGCCAGCTGGCGCCGGTCTTCCAGTTCTGCCGCCAGGCGCCCGTTATATTCTGCTAGTAACAGACATGCTTCATCTACTGTTTTTGAAAGACGTTCAGCTGCCTCTTTGTCTAAGTACAAATGAGACCAAAAAATAGAGACAATATACAAATCACATAGGCACCATTGCAAACATTTCTGGGGGAGGTTAACAGTTTCTCTCTGAAAGTAGAGAATCCAAGAATAAGCCAGAACCTGTGGACAGAAACTCAAAGGGCTGACAGAGAAACCCAAAGGCACTCACTCCTGTCAACAAGACAGGACCTTTCTAAATTACTTGAAGTGAGGCAATTGTGCAGGGAGAAGAATCTGGCTGACATTTCTAAGTGCCTATTCCTGCAAAAGCTCTACAAATAAAATAAACAGAAAGATTTAGTGTCATACATGGGACAAGTTTTCCTGGTCCCTGAGAATTTCAAAAGGGCTTTCATTCATATTACTTTGTTATGTATTTTTTGAACAATACTCTGAAATACAAAATAACAGCACTATAAAGCACATTATGAAATACAAAAGCTAGCACTCACTTCTTGGGTGTGGACACTAAAAGAAAAAAAAAAAAATTAGCCCTGACTGGTGTGGCTCAGTGGACTGAGTGCTGGCCTGAGAACCAAAGGGTTGACAGTTTGATTCCCAGCCAGGGCACATGCCTGGGTTGTGAGCCAGGTCCCCAGGAGGGGGTGCGTGAGAGGCTATCACACACTGATGTCTCTCTGTCTTTCTCCCTCCCTTGTCTTCTGTAAAAATAAATAAAAATCTTTAAAAGCGGGGGGGGGATGTTACACAGTAGCACAAGAAACCTTACACAATAGGTTTGATATCATTAGCTAAGGTGCTGGGACTCCAAACCAGGTTTCTAAAATGGACCTACTGGGCTCTACCTCTCACACCGAGCAAGCCTTGAAACTGGGTATTAATTAGCTCTCTTCTGTTCAGCAAAATACCTGGTCTGATAAAATGGACTTCTAAATGCTTTTGAATATGACCCACACTAATAAATATACTTATATGAACACATATAAAAGAAATTATTTCATAAAATACTTATCCTTACTATGTGCAGTGTTCTATCTTCTATTCCATTAAAAAAAACGATCATTACCTACCAGATTGATTTCATGTCCAATTGATGAGTTATAATTCATTGTTTAGAAAAAAACAAAACACAACTGTACCAAAGTATCAAAGTATAAGAGAGGGTATTCTTAGAAAGAAGTGATGAAAAAAGCTCAACACTGGGAAATGAGAAGAAACAAAAGGATGACCTATATTTAAAAAGAACGAATGTAATTAATCACACACGGGAGTAGTGAGATTAGACCTTAAATATGTATACCTCATTTTTAAAAGGCTTTTAAGGGTCAGAAGAGTAGATAGGTGTTTCGAAACAAAGAGCACCAGGGACTCCAGTAGTTGTAGGGATAAAAAATGAGTTAGACAGTTGCCACTATTACAAGTTGTCTGAGTTGAGAAACCTCAGCATTCTCACAGGTAACTAACTGGGAATTAAGAATTCCGACATAGTTTCTCTGGCAAACTGTCTGGCGTTTAGGTGCCTTCTTAATATGAATATTGGGGGATGGACAGTTGAAGAATTCCAAATTAGGTCTGACCCCAAGACCAGACACTTCCACCCGCTTCAGGGGAGGGAAACAGCAGACATTTTTGGTGAAGGAGGAGTGAGCCAGACAGAACACGAAGGAAAGAGATGATCTCGGTCATGGAGGGTAAAGAGGACAGTGGAGGAGGGGGGACCTCAAAAAACCTGAAATTTATTTAGAAAAAATCGTGTTTTTATTCTTACACATTTAAACTTCAGTCACCTTCAACTGCTCTCTATTTGATGCAATACACCTATCAAGGCATTTTTTCCACAGCTCAAAACAGTTTTTGAACTTGTCGATTTCAGTGCCTTTCAGTGCTTCTGTTTTTCGTTTCACCTCTTCCACATCAGCAAAACATTTCCCTTTGAGGACTTTTTTTCATCCAGGGAAACAAAAAAAGTCACTCGGGGTGAGATGGGGTGAATGGGAAGGTGGGGCATAGGAGGGCATGTTGTTTTTGGTCAGAAATTTCTGAACACTCAGCGCAGTGTGGGCAGGGGCGCTCATAAAGCACCCATCATGAATCAGGCAAACGCACTGAGTCTTCAAAAAAAATTCACTGAAGCCAAACCCAGCCTCTCACAACAATGCCAGCTAGTACACCGATGCAGATGGGCTCCAGGAACCCTCACCTAGCAGGGAAAGCCTGTACTACAAAGGACCTGCCCTTCAGAACATAATTACGTTTTTTTTTGGGGTCCTGCCTCATACTGGCAGTCCAGCCTGGGAATAAGCTGCTAGGGTGGTTAGGTTGGTTTTGGCTTTAACTAAATATTTTTAAATGGTTAATTCATTGAGATGTTTAAGTACTCGTGGCAAAAAACTGCAAGGAAAACACAAATATTTAAAACTTTTAAAATATAGATTCTCACTCTCTTAAGAACATGTACAAGGGATATAATTCATTCACACAAATAATTCAACCCAGAAAAATAACTTGTAATAGCTTTATAAGTTATAGAAAAAATGCCGCCAGAATGCAGCAGCGAGATGCTCACTTCAGAGAACTTACCTGTGGCGGTCCCAGGTGCTGAGCCCTGCCTGCTCCACAGAGGAACGGCTGCGTGTCTTTCAGCAGCCCTCCCCGCGTGCACGAGCACCCCACTCCCTCTCGAGTACTCCCGAGTCAGTTTCCCCACACGTCCTGTTTCCCTGTGCCTCCCCAACTTCTCTCCCCGTCTCCGGAAGCACTACCATCAGCACGCAAATGTGCTGCTGTGTCTTTGGACCTCGGGCCGCTCCCCGACCACTGCCCCCTTTCCCTGTTCCCTTTGCAGCACTCCTCAAGGGAGCTGTCTACCCTCCCCCACCCTCCTCCTCTCTCCTCCTGTCACCAAGGCCACTCCAGTCAGACTTGCACACACGTCAACCCCCTGCTCAAAATCTTCCAGTTGGCTTAGCAAGTATCTGGGCTCCTACTGCACACAGAACACCACTCTGGGCTCTGAGACAGCAGGGAACACAACACAAAGGACAAAACCTTTCTGCTCCAGGTTTACACCCTCAGGTAGACAGAAACAATACACTGTACTTTCCTTTTTCATCAGTCAGAGATAAGAACTCTGGAGAAAAATTAGGCAGAGGAGGAAGAACAAGGCAGTGAAAGGGAGAACTGTAATTTTGGATTAGATGCTCAGAGCAGGCTTCACTGAGAAGATATGTAAACCAAGGCCTTGAATGAAGTTAAGAGAACTATCCGGGAAAGAGTGGGACTATTTGGGGAAGATCGTTCCAGAGGGACCAGCAAGAAGAAAGACCCTACAAAAGGGGTGAGTGACAGGCAAGAAGCCCATGTGACTGGAGCAGTGAGCATTGGGAAAGTAGTAAAAATCTATGTGGTAACAGGGGCCCAGCTGTTACTCTAGGGGACTGGGGTAGCACGATCCCACTTCCACTTTAACAGATCACTCTGATTGCTGTGTTGAGAACAGAATGATGGCTAGGAGTGGGGGACAAGGAGGAAGCAGGGAGACCAGGTACCAGGTGACTGCTAACACAAATGAAGATGGTGGTGCTCACTGTTCACCTCCCTCTGGGCGGTGGCAGTGTGGGCAGTGGCAGTGGGGGCAGTGGCAGTGGAGGTGGTGGCAAGGTGCCACACACTGGTCTTGGTCCCAATCAACAGGAATAATGAGGGAGACTTTATGAAGATGGGGAAGACCACGAGAGAAACGGGTTTTGAAGGGAACACCAGAAGTCTGGTTTGGGGCAGGTTATGTTTGAAATGTCTATTGAGACAGCCAATTAGTAACAGTGAATAGGAGGCTGGATGTACGAATCTCAAGATAAGAAGAGGTTAACACCAGAGATATAAATTAGGGATCACTAAGTAGGGAAAAAAAAACCCTGTTATTTAAAGTAATCAAACTGGATGAGCTAAACTGTCAATGAACCTAGCTAGAGAAAAGGGCTAAGGAGAGGTCAACGTTAACAGGTCAAGGAGAAGTGAAGAAACCAGCAAAGGAAACTGAAAAGACACAGCCAGAGAAAGGAGAACTAGGAGAATACAGGGTCCTAATTTCCTATGGCTGCTGTAACAAATTACCACAAACTTAGTGGCTTAAAACAACACAAACATATTATCTCAACACTTACTGTGGCCCCTTCTCCCATCTTCAAAGTGTATCTCGCCCCAACTTCTGCTGCCATAATTGTATTTCCTTCTCTCTTTCCTCCCTACCTCCCTCTTACAAGGGCAATGTCACCACCTCAAGATCCTTAACTTACTCACATCTGCAAAGTGCCCCCTGCCACTGAAGGGGATATACGAGTATTCACAGGTTCTACGGATCAGGAAATTAACATTTTAAGGAGATCACTTTCCTGTCTACCACACCAAATGAGGAAGTATTTTCAGGAAAAAGAAACCAACTAGGTCAAATGTTGCTGAAATCAAGTTACGATGACCTCAAATTAACTCTTGGCAAAATATTCACTACTGAATTTAGCCCTAGAGAGGTCATCAGCAACTTCGCTGAGAGCAGTTTCAGTAGGGCAGAATCAGAAGAGAATGAGAGGAGGGGAAATGGAGACAGATGAGCACAGGCGACCTATTTAGGATGCTTTGCTAGAAAGAACAGAGAAATAAGGTGGTAACTAGGGGAAGACATGGGTGAAGAAAAAACTTTTACCACATGGGAGAAAAAAATAGATGTTTTTATGCTATGGAAAATGATCCGGGGGAAAAAAATGGAAGATGCAAGAGAAAAGGGGAGAGCTGTTGAAGCAATGCCCTTGAGTAGATGAGAAGGAAGTCTAGCAAACAAGTAGAAAGGCTTGTTTAGAAAACAGCAGGTTCGTCCCCAGAAAGAGGAAGAAAAGCCAGCCAATGTGTGCCAGTTGTCCTCCTCAGCCACATTCAGCTGGGCACATCCTGGACAGAAACAGATGAAAAGCTGGATTTAAGAATGGTGGTTGCAGGGAGCTGGGGGGAGGAGGAGGAGATAAATTGTTATTTAATGGGCAAACAGTTTCAGTTTTGCAAGATAAAAAGCATCCTGGTAATTGGTTGCACAACAATGTAAATGCACTTAATACTTCTGAACTGTTACACTTAAGATTACAAAAACCTAAGCAAAGCAAAGAAAATGAGGACAGAAGGGGAGTGAAGGCTGGGAAAAGACAGACGGATCAATAGACTCTTAAAGCCAACAGGGTTTCACCGTCAGAGGCCGGGAAGCGAGTGAGACCAAATGTTCCCTGTGTGGTTTAGAAGGCCTGTGTGTGTGTTCTCCAGGAGGTTCGCTCCTGCCTGAAGGTCTTTCCCTGTGTAACAGTACCTCCTTCAATTATCCCCACCATCACACTCCTGCTTTGTTCTTCTTTTTGGCCCTTATGCCACGAGGAAATGTGGGTTGGACACCGAGAGTGTCTGCTAACACAGCGTGCCTCAAATATTTGAAGGAAGGAAATATTTCACGACCAACTTTGGTTTCCTTCAAATGGATATGGAGAAAGTTAGTGAAGCAGCCAAGGCAAGGGACTGGAAGGGACAAACAGTGGCCCCTGGAAGAGTGGAATGAAAGGCTTGAGCTTCTGTAACAGAAAGAATATAGGCTTCGCAGGGTAAGCTGAATCCCCAAGATCCACTAGTCATGGGACCTTGGGCAAGACCTCTAACATCTCAAATTCTCAATTTCCTCCTATGTACATAGGGATTAGCATTCAGTGATCTCAAAAGATTAACTATCACAAAGAGCAGGAGTATCTGGCACAGGGTACGCTCTATTAATATTAGTTCATGCTTCATTCCTTCCTTTCAATTTCTCCTGCATAAAGCGAGAATAATGACAACTGCCCCTCCCTGTTTCACTGGGGGTGATCACCAACAGGGCAAATGGACACAACTAACTATGCACACCTCGAGTTCTTGGCACTGAAGACAGTATCATCTATGGCGTGTGTTGGTGTGCGGTGCAAAAATCACACAGTACTGAATTATAATTCTTTTTTTAGTAAGAGAGTCATGAGTTTAATGCCCACCCCGCCCAGCCCTGACCTGTGGCATATTGCATTTCTGCGACAACTCCTAGAATCTCTACTCAAGCTTGCATTATTCCAGCAGCTTTGCTGTTTAGCATGTGAGCTGTTTCCAAAGCCCACGATGACAGGGTGCCCAACACCAAATGGAGAGGCTATAACTGCACACTCCGGTATGCCCTAGGGTTTGATGAACTGGAGCTATGTCCCTCTTCCCCTCATCTTTCACCCACACTCTACCTTCTTACCTGTTATTTTTTCCAACAGAGAAACATCTTGTACTTCCTGGGGCAAAGAAGCAATTTTCTGGCGGACAGTAGCATCACCTGATGCAGCATTTTCCAGGTCTTGCAAAGCTTTGATTAGTTCCTCAGTCTATGTAATAAAACACAAACACTATCCGTTAACACATATGGGGCTTTAAAAAATTAGCTGGAATTGATGAGGTGGCAGCAAATGATATTGTAAGAACGATCACTCCTGACATTCAAACCACCACGGCAGGGCTTCTGCAGTATCTGGGGAGACACACACACACACACGATGACCACGATGGTGGCTCAGCACAAGGATCCCGGTGGCCGACCCCTCAGCTCTCTCTTCAGAGCCACGAACCCCAGACTCTCTGCACGTGTCTCCAGTGTCCTGTCCTTTCTCCGCCAGAGCCTAGATTTGGTGGAGAATGGGAGACCAACAGATCCTGCAGACTGGGCCGTAATGAACATTAAGTCCATTATTCCAGAACAACGGGATTTGAGGAGCAAGCTAGTGCTCTTCAGGAATAGGAAATTGATGGGAAATCCCTGCTACTGATGACAAGAAATCATGTGTTTGACAGGACTTCAGTTAAACTTGGGATGTGCTTTGAAGATCTATGAGTTATCATGTAAAACTTCTGTAGTCAAAGCATTTAAAAAACAACTCCTCACAGTACAGTAAAATTGGGGCCTCAGACCTCAAAAAAATGCATAAAGACAAAACTTAGTTTCATGTTATGAAACTCTGTAAACATAATACACATGTGTGAATATGTAAAGAATGTCCACCAAATGAAACATTATCCTACTGGACAGACTCAATCCATCAGATGACCTGAATTCAGCTGGAGCAGCAAGGAGGGCATGCAGATAGGACGGTTTTCCCTGTGGAGTTTGTCAAAGACAGTGAAGGGAAGTCAATCTTCAACACAGTTAGATACTCTTCCCCAGAAAGGCTTTGAAACCATGAGGATTTTCTCCATTTCTTCAGACAGCTGTCTCAAAACTCATGGAATGAGCATATTTTGGTTACAGACCTGGGGCGGGGGTGAAAGGAGAAAGGGATTGCTGTCTCTCTTGAATTCCTCTGCTCCTCAGAGCTTGTGTTATTGGGATGGAATTGCTGACACCCCTTTTCATGGAGGATCCTCCACACGACCTTACTAAGGCCCCACTGGAATATGCTGTGATGTTTGAAATGAAAGTGCATCTTGGCCCCTTTGGAAGCAGAACTGTGGGGCTCTGGAAAGAAAAGCTGTTGTGTATTGGGCATATCTATCCATAATCAGCTAGCTTTCACAGGGGCTAATGGTATGTTCTGCATAGAATTGCTTTTAAATTGGTTCTTTGTTTCCAAAGAAAGCATTTTTTCACTTTATGATTGTACTCATAAGTTGTTTCTGAAGAAATCTGCCAAGAGTTACAGATCAAAAAGCCTTGTTACTAGTACAGAATATTTATATATATATTCCTTCACAATGGTGCAATAGTTTTAATTGCTCTGATGCTGTGTTTGATTCCTGGTTTGAGTACTTGTTTTTAGGAACTTGAAGCAGTGGGCTTGCTACACCTCTGTTCAAAGAGACAGTTGTTCAATTTCTGTGTGATAGCCCTTGTTGGATTTGTGTTTTGTGGTTGCAAAAAGGCATTGGTTCAGTTCAAAAGCCCATGGCAGAACATGAATAAAATTCTACATCCTTTCACAAAAAAATCTATTTTTAAAGAACATTTTCAATTTATAGGAGTGAAAAAACTCCAAGTCCAAGTCCACTGTAAACATAAATCCATGCCAAAATCCTGGCACACAATGACAAAGTCAAACCCACTGTCTGGCAAGCCTCACCTGGTGGGTCTCCACCCAGTGCCCTGAGAGATGCACATACTGTTGGTCACTAGCACCACCTTGTGGTCATAATCTGCAACTAGCAGTCACTTCACCCAACCACTCTGCCCTAGCCTCTGGGGGTCAAGACATACCAAGAGAGGTCCTGCAGAAGGGTCTTGGGGAGAGTAGCTTCCAGGGTAGTCATCATCCTCCTCCTCTTGTATCTGCTGAAAAGTTCGCTTCAGAGATTTCTTCTCCTCTGTGGCTACAGAAAAGAAAAAAGTGACAAGTTTGATTCACTAAAGCTTGCATAGGTTGAGTCAAATGTTATGCACAATGGGTCACATGTAAAAAAAGGCAGGAGGGGTACTTTCCAGAGACAGCTTAACATTAACCTCTATGCCAGTCATTTTAAATAGGTGGTAGTTCTACATTACTGGAAAAAGACTACTGAAAACAAGCGTCTAAAATCACGTGAAACTTACCAAACTAATACATTTCATAAAAAGCTTCATTATCTTAAAAAAGAAAGTTAACAGGAAAAGTAAGATGGTAAGAGACCCATCAGACAACACAGTGAAGAAAGCCGATGTGTGCAAGGGTTTTTAGAGAATATATTGCATACAAAATAAAATTATTCACACTTTCTAGGATAAGTTCAGGAAATAAATAGTAGAAAGAAACCCATCAATAAAACTGTGCCAAAAACTCAAAACACAAATATCCTTTTTAAAAGCAAAATTTTACCTTACAATTAAAAATAACCATTAATAAAAAATATGATTGATAACACTGGGAGACATTATGTTTCCATTTTAAAATTAACCACTTTTGAGGCTAACAGATTACATTTTTAATTATTTGTACTGTACGCTTTTAAATTATGATAGATGTGTTAATTCTAAAATCACTTATTTTGTATCAAACTGAATAATACAAAATAAATGCCAAGCAACTGTAGGACATAAATCTCAATGATAAATTTAGGTTTACAAAGTAAAAAAACTATCAGACACCCAGCATGTGCCAGGCATGGCAATAGTTTCTTTACATTTCATCTTTCCAACAATTCTAAGATGCCATATTTCCATTCTCCAGGTGAGAAAATGAGGACTCAGGTTAAGTAACTCATCTAAAGGTGTGACTACAAAATCTGCGCTCTTTCCACTGCAGACAAATTACTCAGTGCCACACAACTACCCCTCTCATCTGTCAGGTGAGGAGCCACCACGCACCTGCCTCAGAACTGCGAGTTATAAACGGAACACACTATTCTTAACTGAACATTTTCCTCCAGAACCAAGGATGTATGTAGTTCCCATTTTCTACCTTACATATTAACTGGCCAAGCTGTGTTTGATATGAAAGCCAAGTTAATATGGATTTTATTTTTTCTTAATGCTTTCGTTTGCTCTACCAGCAAGAAAATAAACAACATTTGCATTACAGGCGGTCCTCACTCTGCACAGTTCTAGTATGCACAGATTTGTTACTGTGGTTTAGGTAAGCAGCACAAGTTCCTCAACAACGTGGTTCACATTTCAGTTACCATGGCATATTAACTATGAATAACAGCATATGGAGCAAGCTTCACTACTAACTTCAGTCCACAAATCTTTACGTAAATAATAGAAGTGCTTCATGATCAGTGACCATATCACTTCTTCAAGGTCAGTGACTGGTGGCTGCACATCTGTTACTCAGTTCATACACAGAGAACAGAGTTGTGCTGCCTCCCAGTGATAAGACCCACATGACGTAATCAAAACAAGGAATGGAAGGACGAAGATGAAAGGAGCAAAGAAACTAAGACTAAAACTAATGCGAGAAGTGCAATCTGAAGGGGCCATCAATAGAGCTGTAGGAGAAATAGCTGCTATGGGAATGCAGGCACTGCCACAGGCTCCTCGAGACTCCAGGTTCAAATCCAAAGGAACCTTAGCAAAGGCCAACTTATCAACATCAAAGTAAGTGAAGAAAGTGGTTGTGATGAAAATGACAATGTCCCAGGGCAAGTGATGCTGCCAAAAATCCTCCAATTATCCCTGGCTGGTGTGGCTCAGGGGATTGAGTGCCGCCTACAAACCAAAAGGATGCAGGTTTGATTCCCAGATCAGGGTACATGCCTGGGTTGTAGAGGTGTGCAAGGGGCAACCACACATTGATGTTTCTCTCTTTCTCCCTCCCTTCCCCTCTAAAAATAAATAAAATCTTTAAAAAAAAAACCCTAATATTAAAGGAACTCTCAAATATCTTTCACAACACTGAAAATACAAAGAATAAAATGTTGGAAGCTGATCCAAACTTGGAAAGAATATGACAATTCACTAAGAAAAGATGCTCAGTCTGTATCATTAGTTATACAAGCAAGCAAGTTTTGTTCAAAAAGCTCTTAATGTTTGTTACAAGGAAATAAACATTTTAATTCTCAATGTTTCTGATTTTTTGTTATAGCAAACTAAATACCAGCTTTACTATCTTTCTGGTTTCCCTATATAATTGTAATCAACAGTGAGATTTTAACTCTTTAACAAAAACATCTTAAAAGTCACAGAACAATCATAACTTTGTCTATTGATTATGGTTTCAGCTTACATGGTCACTTTACAGTCCTGCACTGCTATGCAATGCAAGGACTGCTGTGTTTGTAAAACAGAAACTCTACCAGGATCAAAGCTGCACATGAAGTATCTAGCAGTCATCTGCATAGGGTAGCTACCTAACTAATGTGTAGTATGTGGTATGACCCACACAGACATTTAGCTACTACATGTAGAATTTAAAGCACAAGAATAAAAAAAAATTGTATTATTTTGTTCACTTCCAAAAACCTAGAAGAGTGCTCCATAAATAATTGTTAAATATACTAAAGAATGCAGGAAAAAACAAAAACGGAATCCTTTTGTATAAGGGGTTGAAAACCCTGACACAAAAATTTTTATATATGAAAACCACACATCACTAAATCCTTCTGGACACTCAGAATCACTGAACTGGGGCACTGGTAGGCCTTAGAGAAACCCATGTCTTTGCTTTCCCCACCTTATTTTTCATGTGAATATCAAGGCCCAGTTTGTCCAAAGTCAGAAAGCTGCTTAGTCTGAGTCCTACAGCCAAAGTCACCTGCTCCTAGTTTGGAGTTCCTTTTACCACTCACTCACACACTGACAAAGGCTGAAATTAAACTAATGCAAATACTGGGTTGGCTAAAAAGTCCGTTTATTTTTTCCCCGTAAAATAAAAGACATTTTTCATTTTCATCGATAACTTTATTGATTTGGATATTTTCAGTATGTCAGCTATCTCCCATGTGGTATAATGTTGACTGTTGTCAATTAATGTCTCAATTTGATCGCTATCAACTTCAACTGGTCTACCTGACTGCGGAGCATTGTTGAGCGAGAAATCTCCTCCTCCAGCATGAAACTTTGCAAATCACTTTTTTCATGCTCAACCAGTCACAGCACCTTCTCCATACACCATACAAATCTTTTTTTAATTTCAGTTATGTCTTTACACTTCTTGAAATACTAAAGCATAATACACCCAAAAATGTTATTTTCTTCCATCTTCAACATTAGAATGACTACACAACAATTCACCAATTTTGACAATATTTTTTAATTCACAATGATGACAGCTGTCACAATACAATCATACAAAGTTGTTTTGAATGAAGTTAAAGACAAGGGCTACTAGAGGCATCTTATGGAAAAAACCAAACCAACTTTTTGGCCAGTCTGACAAGTTTAGGGCCACTTCTGTCCTTCACCATTCTAATGGAAGAGGGTGCAATAATAGGAGGTAGCCATTACCATCCTGCTTTTCCCACTGTCAACTACCCCCACTTGTGGGACCGACTGGAAATGAATTGTCAGTCATCCTTTCCCCCACCAGGGGCCTCTTTTCTTGAGCTCCTATTTCTTTTACAAACTCCCCCACTGGCTTCATCTTCCAAGTACAACACCTTGGAACCACAAGGATCTCTCCCAAACTCCCGACTTCTAGCAGATTCCATCCCTCTCTCTGAGGAATAGCCTGCGTATCTCCTTTCTTTCGACTCCTTCCCATACCTCTTACCAGCAATCTGGACCTTACCACGCCTCGTTCAGACCACTGTCCCAACTGGTCTCTCTGCCTCTACGTCACTCCTTTTCCAACTTAGATTACTCTTATTAAATTAACCTTCCTAAAGCTGAGCTCTCACCCCATCGTGCCTCTATTAAAAAACCTGGAATGGCTATCCAAGCGCTGAGCCTACTCATGGTAACGTGATACCATCTTGAGTTCGCCCTCTCTCAAAGGCATCCTCTCAGTCTAATTCCCACAGCATGTGGCCACTGCTAACTCCTCATGGCCACTGGCAGGCACTGGCTGTACCTCTAAGTGTCTTATTCCTTTACGTCCCTAGAATACCTAGGGAAGTGTCAACAGACCTGAGTTTGAAACCTCTTGAAGGCAGGAAGCACACAGAGCTTGGACTGTGCCAGAAATGACTGTCACTGCGTCCCTTTACAGGGTGGCCTGCTCTGGTAACCCCCAACTCATCTATACCAAGGTAGCAGGTATGGTGTCCAGTATTCTCAATCTAGTCAGACAGCCATTAAAAATAACCTAGGAAATCCACTAGTCCCCTCCCTACAGCTAAATTAAGATAAGGCACCCTACCACTACCAATTTGGCTTCTGACCACAGTATTGATATTTATACACCTGTTTGTACTCTCTCAAACACTGTTACAGGCAGGGCAAACCCTATAGCTAATCGAAACCCTTCTACGCTCATCCTGTACACCTTCTCTTCTATCCTCCAACCCGCCCCTGTGTCTCTGGGGGAACTTGTACTTAGCTAACTTTTAAGTTATCCTGGTTACCTAAGTGTTCATGGTATGTCTCTTGGAAACCCAAATTTTGGTAGAATTTCAGACATAAAGCAGAAAGTTAGCTTGAAAGTTCCCAAATCACATTATAAAATGCAGTCATCTGCTGGTAAAGCCGGATCTTCTAAAAACTGCACTTGGAATTTTCTGGGGTTAAAAGAAAGAAGAAAAAACCCCACAGATTTTATATTTATTTTATAATGAAAAAGAATCTGGAAATATTGTTTGCAATGGCTTCCTTATTCTTTGTTCTCTTTCTGCAAAATTAAGAAAGAAATTTAAGGCCCTGGCCATTAGTTCAATTGGTCAGAGCATTATCCTAATATGCCAAGGTTGTGGGTTCAATCCCCAGTCAGGGCACAAACAAGAATCAACCAATGAATGTATAAATAAATGGAACAACAAATCAATGTTTCCCTCTCTCTAAAATCAATCAATAAAACGAATTTAAAAAGCACATTAAACTTTAGTTGTGGAAAGTAAAACATATGCAACAAACAAAGGGCTGACATTTGAAGCACGGCTCTGAAAGCACTTTCTGTATCATCTCACTCAACGGAGTGGCCAGGTCCAGACAAGAACCCAGGGAATCTGGGCTCAGGTATTTCTAGTCTTGCACAAAAATCTCAGAAACTAAAAATACTAATAAGTGTCCTCCTACTTCTGCTATAGTTCATATTTAGAAACTCAGAATATTAGTTATTAGAACTGGGGGAGACAAATAAAAGTCATATCATCACTTGATTAACAATATCTTATCTACATTATCGCAAGTAATACAACAATCCTACCAGGTATTACTAGTAGCAGCCACGAACCTGAGGCCCAGATAGGTCAAATGGCCCAATGTCACATAGCTCAGAAGTGACAAAGTTGGGACTCATACTCTGAAAGTCTGATGTCAAACCTCTGCTCTGAATAGCTACACTAATTATGTAAGAGCCAGGAAAGTTGGGCGGCCTGCTCCTGAATTCATACCCTAATTCAAATCTATTATGCTTTCAGAAAAAAGAATGGTATAAAGACATAGGCTTTATTATGGCATATGGCTGGTGTGGCTCAGTGGACTGAGTGCCGGACTGTAAACCAAAGGGTCATCAGTTCAATTCCCAGTCTAGGGCACACACCTAGGTTGCGGGCCAGGTCCCCTGGGGGGCGGGAGGGGGCAGCGGCGTATGAGAGGCAACCACACATTGATGTTTCTCTCCTTCTCTTTCTCCCTCTCTGAAAATTATTAAAGTTAAAAAAAAAACACATAGGCTTTAAAGTCATATAGATCTGGATCTGAATTCTCCATTATCAATTACATCTATCTGAGCAAAATTACTATGCCCTTGTGACTCTTAGTATTAGTATCCTCAACTGAATTATGAAAATAACATCAAATTCACAGAGTACTTGTAAGGATCTAAAATAAGTTAATATAAAGAGCAGTCGGCAGAGAAGTTGGTACTTAATATATGTTCAGTAAAAGTGATTTCCTGTGTATCTATCTGCCTTTCCTTTCTAAATCGCTCTACAACTATACAACTCTATGTGATTTTCGTGTTTCTCAGGTAAATAATAGTTCCATTCAGGCGAGCAAAAGCTTGAGTATTCCCCCAAACAGAGAGGCAACTTCAGTAAAACACCTGGGTCTTGCACCTGGGGAGACAGGCAATGTAACTCAAGAAATCTCTAGCCCTGAAACCAAATTCCTAATCTCAAGTATTCTCCAATGTTATAAGAACTCAAAGTTCCACAGGAAGATTCTTGTTTCAAAGATAAACTTCAAAGTTATCTGAAAATAAAGAATTACTCATGAATTAAAGCTGAAATACAAAAGGACTATTTAAATTGGGAAATAAACTTCTGGAGAAATCATCAATATTTTGAAAGGATTGTGGTAAAATACTGATAACTCAGGTCCAGAGAAGACAGAGTGAGTAACTAATACACACGTCGGAACCTCCTGGTGTGTTTCTGTCTTCAGAGAACAGAGGAGAGAGTATCTTCAGATCTGCATTCCCCTCCACAGAGGAATTCTGCCTCTCTTGTTGTTAATATCTAGACGCTCAAAACACTGAGAAACCCAATGGGGCTATTTTGAAACCTACTATGGCCACAAATTCCCCAATTTATCTGACTGCTCCCTAAGTGCAGAACTATTTCTCATTTCTCTCTCTCGCTTTCCTATAACATAGCTGTTTACTCAGAGCACATGTCTGGCAAATGCTTGCTGAATTGAAATTCAACAGTTAGCTTCAAACATTGTATTTCAGAGCTCTCCTACTTGCCCAGTGGTACTTTAGAAAAATCAGCGCTGTTTACCAATGGACTCTAAGGCAGAGTAAAAAATGCTGAATAATTCTTCAATCCTGTGCAAAATACCACCAAAGGACACAATACAAACACCACCAGAATCCAAAGTAGAAAACGTCTTGCTTTTCAGAAGCTGTGCAGAGCAACCCCAAAACTGTTTTTATCCACTTCAAGTAAAACAACAATGACCTGCCGTCTGAAAGCACTTGCATCATTCTTAGCCTCTAACCTCTAGTTTCAAAGAACATCCTACCTTAAACGGTATGTAAACTCAGACCTGGAAGAGATCACGGAAGGCACACAATAAAGGGCTGCTGAACGAGAGCTGTTACCACGGCTGTATTCTACAGCAGAGGCATGTGAGAAGTACCAGAGGAACAGGGAGGGAATGGCTGCGTGTGCCAGAGGACCTCAGGATGAGAGCAGCATTTCTGAAGAATGAGCTTGCCACATAGTGAAGGGGGCAGGAGGACATTTCAGGCAGAGGTAACAGATGCAAAGGAAGGGGCACCAACAGAGTATTCAGAGGAGAAACTGTTTGGTACGCCCGAAGAACATGGTATATGTGAGGTAATGGCACAAGAATCTCCAAAAGTAAACTAGTTCAGACTTTAAAGGGTCCTAAAAAATATCTTAGCACTTGGACTGGATCCTCCAGGAAATAAGTATGTGTGCAGTCAGACCAGATCACAGCTTAGAGACATGCCATGCCAACTGGAATTAAACCACAACTAACTGGAAGCAAAAGAACCAAATAATGCTTGACCCTCCCCCTAAAGAAAACAAGGAACTCTTAAGGGCTTGGTAAAACTCGCACACATGCACGTACTTCCCAGGGATATCCTAAGTTCAGTAGAAACCAACATCAACTTTAGACAGCAAGCTGGCAACCATCAAAAGCATGGTCCAAAACCGCACCAATATTTAACGAAACCAAGTTCTAAGAGGGCCGACACTTGTCCACAATCCTATAGTAATCAATGGCAGAGTTAGGACAAAATGCTAGTCCAGGGTACTTCCTAGCACCCCACAAGTCTAGGTTGTTCCTTTCCCTCGTGCACAGAAAGTCTCTGAAGGGCAGGGCAGCCAAGGAGAACAAAGCAAAAGTGAGGGTGTGAGATGACGAATAGTATGAATACTAGAACCAGGCTTACACGTTGCGAGCACTACATAAATTCTCACCATCATTTATGATCATCTCTCTGAAGAATCACATAATCGTTGGTGGTTCACAGCAACCCCCACTGCAGCTTTTCATATGATTCGAAAGTAGGCAAAGACCAAGAGCTGTAAACATGTGGTGATGTTTCTACCTTTGGGGGGAGGGCTCTTGGAGTCCTCCATAGACAGCTTCAGTTGCTGTATGAACTCGCCGCCATACACACTTCTTTCTTGCCAGATGTTCAGCAATCTTTCTAAAGGTTTTTTACAGCCTTCATCTGCCTCTCTGCCCAGAAAAGATGAAAAGATATATATAAGCTTAAGATTTTTTGGTTTTGATTAGGACAGATGTACTTTTAAAAAAAATCAACAACTGACTAGATGGTTTACACATTTAAAAACATAAGGAGGAGTAAAGTATATATTGTGATAAGTGGATACCCAAAACTTGACCAGAAACTACATTCTTCCTGCAGGGGAATGAGAAAAATTATATGATAAAAGTAATCTGTGTCTTTTATCCCCTTTGAAAGATGGGGCAAATTGAGCAAAAAGCCAATGACTGATTTTTACAGATGGAATCATCAAAAACTGATACTATCGTGACAGCTTGCTTTTTAAGATGACGTTAATCAAGCCCTGACTGGTGCGGCTCAGTGGATTGGGCGTCCCCCCACAAACCAAAAGGTCACCGATTCTGGGTTGCGGGACAGGTCCCCTGTTGGAGGCGTGCAATAAGCAACTGATCGATGTTTCTCTCCCTCTCTTTCTCCCTGCCTTCCCCTTGATCTAAAAATAAATAACATTTTTTTAAATAAAAAAGATGACAATTGAAATCTAGTGCCAGACATTCTGCTGAAAGCTAATGGGGAACCAAAACTTTTAAGGAGGGAAAAAAATATATTAAAAAAACACAAATGTTTGAAATGGGGAATAAACTCACTACAACTCATCAATGCAAACACACCAATACCTCCACATCTATAAATACAATTACACACAAATATATGCCAAGACTGATCTCAACTTTAAATTAACCACTTCATAATTATCTTAATTCTGGGCTAGGTCTGTAGTCCATGTTCACCCAAAGGTGTCTAATAGATAATCTTAGAACATAGTGAGCATAATACGGTCCTTAGTAATTTAGGCAGCTTTCTCCTGACATGCTACGCCCCTAAACAGACAGTTTTTCAATAAGGTGACTATAACTCGCACTTACCTAAAATGTCAGACAGCGAAAGTGGGAAAGTGGGGAAGACTTTCTGAAAGGAAAACAAAGTCCCTCACCGTACACTTGTTACTACATATTTTTCTGGTTTGCAGACCTGTCTGGATGTCAATGATCTTGCACTGAATGACTCAAACAAGAAGGATATCCTGACGTCTTAGTATCTAAGTCGGTATCTTTAATGGGAACTTCAAGAAGGAATCATCCCAAATCAACTGAAATGGGAATTTCATTCACTCTCAGCCTTGACGGCACTTTTCCCTCAAACTTACATTAACACTCAGGGTGATGTAAGCTTTCAGCCTGATCTGGTCAGGCTGTATTACTTATGAACTGTTACTGGCAAATTTCACCAACTTGGGGTTAAAGTACTAAACCAGGGTACATACAAATTAATTTGTTATTGTTGTTAAACTTTTTTCTTTTAGTCAGAGGTGAGGATAAAAGAAAAAAATTCCATAAATAGTTTATAAAACTTAAAAGGTATGAACTAAATATTTGATGTTTATGACAAAACACTTCTACTCCATCTTCAAAATATATCTAGAAACAAATTACTTCTCACCTGTTCCTCTGCGATCAAGCCGGTCCAAGCCTCTACCGTCTCCTGCCTGATCACTACAATACAGCCTCATTAATGGTATCCCTGCTTCCACTCTTACCCTTCTATAAGCTATTATGGAGCTTAAAAAATATAATTCTAGCTGTTGTGTTAAGGCAGATCACGTTATTCTTGCTCAAAATTTCCAATGGTTCTTTTCTCCCTTGGAATAAAGGTTAAGGTCCTTATAAATCCTAGAAAGCCCACTATTTCTCAGGCCTCACCTTCTCCCCAGTCCCCAACAACAGCTACCCTGACTCTCCTGCTTCAGGGCCTCTGCACTTAAATTCACTTTGCCTGGAACCATTCCCCGAGTCCCAGGTGATGCCTGGCTCATTTGCTCTCCCCCTGTAGGCAGGAAATTACCCACACAGCACTTTTCCAGTGAGTCCTTCCCTAATGTCCCTATTTCAAAGTACACTCCCTACTTAATTCTTCTCCATACAATACATCTGATATGCTAATATAGTTTACTTGTTTACACTCTCTCCATTTGTGTGTGTGTATGTTTTAACTTTACTGCTTTTTCAGAGAGGGAGGAAGGGGGGAGCAAAAGAAACATCGATTTGTTGGTCCTCTTATTTATGCATTCATTGGTTGATTCTTGTACGGTGCCCTGACCAGGGATGGAACCTGCAATCTCGTATCAGACAACACTCTAACCAACTGAGCTACCCGACCAGGGCTCTTACACTCTTTCCATTTGAATGAAAAAGGCAGGGATCTGTCTCCCCCCTCACCCCACTGCTATCCACTCTAGAACAATAAATACCTAATTGTAACCTTTTAAAAAAGGTTTTAGATAGTTTTTGGTAAGTCACACAATTAGTTAACCTAAAGCAATCATCTTACTACATCAAGGTCATTCATGCCAGACTCCAAATAAGCACTCACCTACTCATTCTATGAAGTTTATGAAATACTGTGCTTGGAATCCACAGTTAGGCCTACGTCCTGCCCTCAAGGGTTTGTCTGACCCAGTAGCCTTTCCATTCCCTACCTGGGATAGCATGAGCGAGAGAGAGGAAGTCCTGAGGAGAAATTACGTATGATCCAGTCCTTTCTACTCAGGACTTGCTCTCTCTCGCTCATGCTATCACCTCTCCTTGAAATGGAACCCCCCTCCCCCGCCCTAAGTAAAACAAGGTGAAGAGGGAGAAGTTGTGTGTGATTCGGGTGGCTTAAGTATCTGGGGAGTATGTAGAAATAGCAGAAGAATCTGGAGGGATCAAGTGGGACTAGATTATCGAGGGTCTTGAATGCCATATAAAGCATGTGGCCTTTCTCCTGAAGGCAAAGAGGAGTACGGGTAATTAGCTGGTTGGTACTTTTAACACAGAATCTGTTCTCTGCAAAGTCTCCTTTCACTTAGAAGAAAGAGAAACCTTAATTAAAACAACCAATTCTTACCTAGGATTTAGTTAAAAGGGAAGGGAGGGGCACAACACATACCCACCCACCCATCCCTGGGGATATTTGGGATTCAAGACTTTTAAGACTGATTTAAGTACAGTTTCTGCCACTTTACAACCTAAAGACACTTTCAATAGGCTTCCACCACTAAAGGCTAAATCCCAAAGGGGGCCCTGGTATACTTGGTGAATGTAATTAACCAGGACAGGCTAATTCTTTGAGAACTACAGTAAATCAAGGTTTTGCCAGATAAGTTTCAAAGTTACAGATACAGCAGTCAAAAAATTATTTTACTGATGAGGTTTTGCCATAAGTAGCTACAAAAAACTGAATGTCACTTTGGCACCTAGAACTGAATACAACTAAAGCAATAAAGTAGTTTTATAACAGAGTTATCTTTTCAGGTTGCATTTCAATTTTGTTCTAAATTGAAAAATCTTTAAGTGAAAAAACACCAAAGAACTGTTACCACTAATCAGTGAAAAAACTGGAAGGTGATAATTATATACATAACTTATTATGTAGAACACAACTTAGTATGTACTTTATTCTAATTATAAATTTAATCTTTGCAAAATTGATCTTTTTGGTAAAAAGTGTGTATTATACACACACAGGATTGCTGCCTTTCCTTCCTTTGCAGTTTTAATGGCACTTCCTTAGTATGACCACTGTAATTTCTGTGTTTCTGTCTTATCCCGTGTACAGTAGACATATGGTAGCTTACTAAGGGCAAGAATTGTAAGTACCCCTAACACTTCCAACAGCACTTCATGTACAGCTGGGGCACAAATGTTCCCTCTGCAAGCGTGCAGACGAGACTTAACAGCAAACCTGACACTGCTACCCATAGGAAGGCCTGCTTACAAGGTTGGCCCTTGGTGATGAGCACCTGGGAACCTGGGTTTCAGGAGGGTTCCTGCCTCTTCCTAACCAATTAGGGTGGTTTACTGAGCCCAAATTGTTTGTGCAAATAATATGGTTTATGCTAAACACTTCTTTCTTTCTGAAAATTTGGCAGAGGATGCCTGTAGCCAACCCCAATAAAAATCCTGGGCGCTGAGTCTCTAATGAGCTTCCCAGGTACATGTATCACATGTGCTGCCATTACTCAATGCAGGGGGAATTAAGTATATCTTGTGTGACTCCACTCATGGCACACACCAAAAAATATTTTTTGCTGATCTGACAAAAAAACAGGTATAATTTCCGATTCATTCACACTGGACGGCTATTGCATTGGCTGTCAACATTTTTAAATTTGACAATCTAAGGGAAAAGAGGCCAGTGCCCCTGGCTAAATAGTCAGATATTGCATATTTCAAAAATTCTTGCCCTGGCTGGTGTGGCTCAGTTGGTTGGAGCATCATCCCAGAACCGAAGGGTTGCAGGTCTGACCCCTGGTTCAGGTGCAAAAGATCCCCCCAAGTCTGGGTATGTATGGGAGGCAACCAATCAATGCTTCTGTCTCGCATCCATGTTTCCCTGTCTCTGCCTTCCTCTCTCTAAAAGCAATGAAAAAAATGTCCTTGGGCGAGGATAAAAAAAATCCCTCGAGCACACCGGTTGAGAACTGCCGCTCCACAGCGGAGGGACTCCTGGAAGCTTATACCCAGGCTCCTCTGGATTTCATCTCCACATCTTTCCCTGGACCGACTTTATTTTGTGCCCTTTCACTGTAAGGACTCACAACCATGGGCACAACTACACACTCACTGAGTCCTGTGAGTCCTTCTAGCCAGCCACCACCCTAACGTTGGCCTTTGGGACCTGGGACACAACGGCAGATAAATAAGGCAGATAAATAAGCATATGACGCTAACTCCAATTTGTCTCAGGAATTAATTTCCTACTGAGCTCAGACAACAGGCATACCTCGGAAATATTGTGGTTTTGGTTCCAGACCACAGCAAGGCAAGTATCTCAGTAAAGCAAGTTGTATTCTTTTTGCTGGTGGAGGGTCTTGCCTTCCACTTGTAAAGAACACAACATCTGTGAAGTGCAATAATGTGAAGCACAATAAACAGGGTGTGCTATATTTTACCCCTCTGCACTGCCCCCTGGAATATCCACCAGCCATCACAAACTTAACATGGCCAAAGCAAAACTCTTGATTTCCTCCACCATACCTTTTCCCTAAATCTCATCTCAGTAAAGGGCACCACTGGCCATCCACTTACATCAAAAGCCAAAAAATAATCTTTGATTTCTCTTTTTCCCTCACTACCACCTCCCACTCAACTCCCATAAATCCTATCAGTTTATGTGGTGGTGGTGGTGGTGGCAGTGGGGGAGATGGAGCAAATCTATCCACAAAATAAACATTCAATAAACAGAAGCTATTATCTTCTCACTGCTTCTGAGTCCTAGCCAATGACATCTCTAGACTGTATTAGAGCAATATCCTCCAAACTAATGTCCCTGCCCCTCCCTTGGCCCTAATAATCCATTCTCCAAACCTAGCCAGAGGGATCTTTTAACAATGTGACGGCATGAATATATCATTCTCCTGCTTAAAACCCTTCATGACTGAGACCCCAAAACCCTCTCTCCCAACACTGACAAGGCGCATGTGACTGACATCTGCCCACTTCTCTGATATTAGCTGGGTGCCACTCTCCCCTTTGCTCAGTGTGTTCTACCCTTACTGGCCTCCATCCTGATCCTCTTAACCCGCCAAGATGATTCCTGCCGGACATTCCTACTTCATGTGATGACCTCAGATGTCATTTCCTCAGAGGGGCCTTCCTTCGCCACACTAGAAGAAATCCCACTCTAGAATGCCACTCCATTTTATTGTATCTACACTCTCACTCTCTGAAAGTGTCTTGTTCACTTATTTCTCCTTGTCTGTCTTATGCATGGCTGCTCCCTACTGTCTGGATCAGTTCTTGGCACACAGAAGGCACTCAAATACAACTGAACGAAAAGTAAGGTGCAAAACCATCTTCAAACTGATGAAAGTCTGAAGAAAACAAGAAGGCATTTGTGTGGAAAACCAGTTCAAAATCTAGCTGCTTGAACCGCTATTCAAATGAAATCTATCCTATGATCTTGGCGGCTTTCTCTGACTTGAAAAGTTCGGTTTGGCGATTTTTTGGAGTGGGGCGTGGCTGACGGAAGAGGTAGGCAATTATCATAAAGAGATTCCTAATAAACTTTGGTCAGTATTAATAGGTCAGCTATTTTTGTTCATCAACTGGCCACATGAAACCCATAGAGAGAGCGCTTCTTACTGCTGGTAAGGGACATCAGGCCTGAAGTGGAGGGGCTGGTCTTTCTGTTCTAACAATGGTGGGCGGAGGGGGCTTGGAAACATGGGGATCCCAAAAATAATTAGGACCTTAAGAAAACTAGAAGAATGAAAAAAATAATTAAGTTAGGGTTATTTTTTAAATTTTATTTTTTAGTTAAAAAGGTCCAGGTTTATTTTTCCAACAATGCCACAGAATCTGCCAAAACCTTTTTATACTCCTTCTAGATAGGTTTTAAAATGCTACCAAGTAGAAAAGAAACTTTTCAATCCTGGTACTGCCCATACCCCTTCTTCTTGCCCTTTTCTGGATTTGGGGCACCTAACGGTTATTGTTTGATTTTTAAATAAAAATCTTATACCTATTAACCCTACAGAAAACTATTTTAGTCAATTTCCTATACCCTAAATTAACTTACAAATTCATCAAATATTTACTGAACAACTCTCTGTGCCAGGGCAGATCAGAATGTTGCCCAGCTCCTGGGACACCACTGGGGATCCCCATCAAGGCTGCAGAAAAGGTGTCCCCGAAGCCACATGGCCCAGCAGCTCTGTGCCAGACACTTCAGCAGGTGCTTGGGATACAGCAAAGAACAAAAAAAGAAATGGTCTTTTTCATCACAGAGTTTATAATTTAGTATATTCCCATAAAGGAGCAAAGACCTTGGATCAGTCACTGTACTATGTATATTCAAATACACTGTTTTACTTTAGCCTCACAACTCTAATTAGGAAACTCAGGCTCAAAATGCTAAGCATTAGATATAAAGCCGCTCAGTGTTGGAGGCAGAGCTACAGCCAATGACTAAGAAACTGAACTGACCACCTCAAAACAAAAAAAATGACTGGCTTCAGAATCATGGATCCAGAGACCGTTTTGATAGTTGCTAGATTTGGGGGGTAGGGGGGGGGGAATGGGTGAAGAGGTGAGGGGATTAAGGAGTACAAATCAGTAGTTACAGAATCGCCACAGGGATGTAAAGTACAGTATAGGAAAGGGAGCCAAAGAACTTATAGGCAGGCGTGACCCATGGGCATGAACAATGGTGAGGGGATTGCCTGAGGAGTGGGGGGTGCTGGGAGCAGGGGGGGCAAAGGGGGAAAAAATGAGGACAAACTGTAACAGCATAATCAATAAAATATAATTTTTTAAAAAGGCTGTCTGCAGTTTCAAATAGCTACTCTAGTAGTTTGTTCTAAGCTGACCCTCTGTTATAAGGAGACAGCATTTATTCAAGTTCATAACACATTCTGCTTCTTCAGTGTCCATGTTCACCCACGAGCAAGCCAGCAATGTAGTGGACAAACAAAAGTCTTTTTTTGTACCTCCAAAAGCTAGATGTCATTTGTTTCTTTTGGGTTTCCCATTTTATTCCTTCAACCGTTTCAAATCTTTTATGGAATGCCAGACTTACTTTTTACATTTTAGACCTTCCACTTGCACTTCAGACCCTAGAACAATTTTTATTTAAACCAGTAGTCTCCTCTGTGCCCTCCCCAATTTCCTTTTGTAAAGATGTTTATTTTTGTATGTTTACTTAGTAATATTCTAATGAAAAATAGTTCTTCTCTGCTCTCCCTGGGCAACTAACTTGTGTCTACAGAAAAGCAAGTTGTTTTTAAATGAACAAGTGATTTATACAACTTTTACTCAGGTGGATGTTTTCTGATGTGCGTTTCGGTGTGCTCTGCACTCCAGTCCCGTCAGACCACACGACAGTGGCAGAGACTCCGTATGACACAGCCAGAGCAAATATCTCCTTCCCACACTAGTGAGTATCTTTGCGCTTACAGAAATAACCACTATTTCTAGTAAACCAGACATCTAGACATCCAGAAGGAAGTAAAAATAAAGGCATAAGCAACACATTTTTTTGCTAATAAGGTTTTGTTACTGGAAAATTCCCTTGTACTATTTGACTTTGTTTTTTTAGACCATAAGCTAATGAGACAATTCAGCCAAACCAAGAAAAATAGCATATTGAAGAAATTAATTCAATAAATTACTACATTAAATTACTACATCTAGGGAAAAAGATGTGTTTCAAGTGCTACACTAAATCACTGTAAAGCATCAAAATGTTTACATGTCTAAGGTAATTTTTAAGGGACCAGCAAAACATAAAACTGTAATTTAGCCTTTGCATCACTCTGTAAAGCACATCTCTAATAAGTACGTACAAGTGGTCAATTTCCAAAAGTTACCTTGGAAAAGGAAAAAACAAAAAGGAGGAAAGGTAATGTATTTAAAAACGAAACAAAACAAAACAAGAGACAACATACCTGGCAACATGAGAAAAAGCATCCACAAGGACAGATTCAAATTCTCTAGTGAACTCAGGTCCTTTCCTTTTACTGTTTTGGATGACATCATTTGCTAAGTACAGAAAAGTAAGCTTTCTATTTGATTTGGCTGGAAAAAAAAAAAAGAAGATAATTTAACTTACACCAAGGAAATTCGCAATTCACAATTCTTTTGCCCAAAGCTACTCCTAAAAAATATTAAGACAAGCATTATCTACTTGAAATCAAGGGTGCTATATGTATGAAAAACAACCTAAAGGTCTGAGAATTCCATTTTTGTAAAAAGCAAAGTGAGAACAGGCCATCTTCATTTCTTTGTTATTTTAATCAGGATAATTAGCAGTAAAATGAAGACAATGTAAAGAAAACTCCTATAGGGTAAGCAGTCAATATTCTCCAGAAGACGTGTTAAAACCAAGGTTTTCACTTATTCTATTGCAAAAATGAACTTTTCTAACTCCCAATTAATTGTCAAATACTGCAGAATGAACAACTGAGTTAGGTTCTTGTAATTTATGCTCTTAGACTGAGAATTTCCCTTTGAACATTCTAATAACATCATCAGTCAATTACATCAACTCTACAATCCAGAGGAATCTCTAGGTGCAGCAACGGATATTTATCTCAAATACAGATACACATTAATGCTACATTATAAATGAAAATTTACACATCTGAAATCTGGATATGCAAAATTATGGCTCCCACAAAAACCATAATTCTTCTCTCTTATACATACTAAATGCAGAATTTCCTATTACTCTATATGGTATCATATATTAAACCATAAAAACCTCATGCAATATATGAGTTACAGTTGCTTGGGGGAACATTACTGAATTTCCTGGCTTCTATGCACATAACTTTTCAACCATAAAGTTACATCATTACAATTTTTGGTTCCAGTTTTCTTTTAAAAGGAATAAATAAAAACACAATCAGACAGTTCAAAATATCTGAAAATCTCAAGCAAGACCTATGTCAACCTCTACACACACGCAGTCCGTACTGCATTTTTCTCAGAAACCACATACTACTTCTGAAATGCACACGACATGTATAAATTCGGATACGGTGGGCATAAGATGTGACTTTTTTTTTTACGATTTTATTTTATTTATTTTTAGACAGAGGGGAAGGGAGGGAGAAAGAAAGGGAGAGGAACATCAGTGTGTGCTTGTCTCTCATGTGTCCCCTACTGGGGACCTGGCCTGCAACCCAGGCATGTGTCCCGACTGGGGATTGAACCAGCCACCCTTTGGTTCGCAGGCCAGCACTAAATCCACTGAGCCACACCAGCCAGGGCAGATCTGACTGACACTTTTAAATGATTAAAAAATTTTAAAAATTTTTTAAAGCATATTTATGGCTTAAATTGGTGACTTAAAGTGCTCCAAAAAGTTAAATATGGATATACTGAATTGTATTAACCTTCTGGCAATAACCTAACTTTGATGGCCGTCTGATGAGAATATTGAAAACCTGGAGCTGTGCTGCTACAAAGGTATGATTACGGCAAAAGTCTTTAAAAAAAGCAAACCTTCTTCTGGGATGTTGCAGCAAGTAAAACTACCCAGTCTATAATGCCATGGACTGAAATCCATATTATAAAACGCCATGGACAGTCCAGAAAGACCTGATACATTTTTCAGTATTACAAATATGACAGCTAAGAGGCCAGAGAGCCAAGGTTTTCAATATCTGCAGTGCCAATTAATTTGCATCATCCTTAAACTTGGCGATGGGGGCTTATTTAAGATAAAACTTTGTCCCTCCACATCCAGCATCCTGAACAGACAACCTAAGCACTATGTGTGTAAATATGATACAACAAAGCCCTAGAGCACCTGAACGAACCATCGTAACATATACAACACACACGCCGTCTACTCCAGCCCCAAGTGACAGCTCACTGACTCAGATGTCCTTCCAATGACAAAATGGATCTTTTCACACTCTACCTATGCCCGTTCCAAACTGGATGAGATAGTTGAGCAAGGTTTAAATAACTAGTTGACCAATAATTTTTACTTGTTCGGCTGGTTTTGACAACTAGAAAAGTAAGTTTGGAAATAAGGATTACTGATTTGCTTTCAAGCCAAGATACAAAAACATTAGTAACAAATATTCAGCTAATATTGAGTATTTTATACCAAATTGAACCATAAAGGGGAAAAGTTCCTAGGAAATAGAAAGAAAAATAATACAACAGCATTAGAAGTGGTATTTGAGCACGGAAAATAATTTTTTAAAAGTCTGGTAAATATTCTGAAGGCAACTCAGAGATAGTCTGTGAACATCTTAGGGAAAATGACCACAGACAGAAATGTACACTTCTAACAAGGTGAGCTAGAACCTACGGGGCGGGTCAATTTGAACATCAGGGCACAAAATCTTCTCCACTTTAGTGTGGGGGCACTTGCAATTCACCAGGGAAGCTGTATGCTGGTATTGGGTAGAGCATCCTCCAGCTCTGCACTGTCCAACATGGTAGCCCCTAGCAACATGAGTGAACACTTGAATTGTGGCTAGCAAAATTCAGTAATTAAATTTTTTATTGTATGTATTTAAAACTTGTATTCCTTAGTCACACATTTCAAGTGCTCAATAGCCACTGGTGGCAAGTGGCTACCTGGTTGGACAGCATGGATGTAAAATATTTTTAGCATCACAGGAAGTTGTATTAGTGCTGTTTAGTCAAAATGTCAGAGACCATAATTTAACTCCTAACCTATTTTTTTAAACTGTAACAGACACCATGCTCAAAACAGTAGGTGTTACAAAGAAACAAGAGGCCTAGTTTCTCCCTCAAAACACAACCTAATGAAAAAGACATAACTAGCAAGAATAACATACAGTACATAGTCCCTCAGTATTATCCATGGGGGGAATTGTTTCTAAGGCCCTCCCCTCCCCAAACCCTGTGTGAATACCCAAAGCCTAAGAGGCTCAAGTCCCTGTATAAACTGATATATAGTATTTGCATATCCTAAGCAAATCCTCCCATATCTTTTCAATCATCTCAGGATTACATGTATTACCTAATACAATGTAAACACGATGTAAATAGTTGTTATACTGCATTGTTTCAGGAATGACAAGAAAAAAAAAGTATGCACATGTTCAGTACAGATGCAACCATTCTAGGCCTAACTACACAAGAGATCATGTCAGCAACAACGTAACCTTTTCTCTGGAATATTTTCAATCCACAGTCGGATACAGAACCTATGGATACAAAGGACCAACTGTACATGCTGACTGGGTGTGGAATGGGATGCAGTGATTAATTTTAATGAACAAAAACACTACATATTAGGTTGGAAGGTTATGATCACCTCCCCTTACTGAGTGCAATGAGGTACTAGGTACTTGTAAGCCCAAGTTTTGGTGTCAGAGAGCTCCGGGCTCCTGCCCCAGCTGTGTGCCTCTAAACTAAGCACTTGATCTCTCTCTGTATCTTTATCTTCTCATCTGTTGAATGGGGATTAATAATCCGGGCCCACTTACAACATAACTTTCCATATGCGATTTGGAGTAAACGAGTTTTATAGATGAATGCACTCTGTAAACTTTTTTTTCTGTGCTTTTGTGTTTGAAACTCAAGTAGAGTAAGGTGGGGAACCAAGAAGCCTCCACAAATGTGATATTTGAGATGGACTCTGATCTGTCTCAGATCCTACTAGATAGGATCCTACAGAGGCGATTCACATTTTGTTTACAGCTCAGATGTTGGAAATATCTGAATGGTGCGGTGGGGGATGTGAAGAAGGCTCTGGGAGCTCTAGACTCTACCCCCCAATTGCCCAGAAGACCAAAGGGACCCATGATATTTGGGAGTCTCTGCTAAAGGGCTAAACTGGGTCTCCTGAAAGAATTCCAAATTTTGGGGTCTGTCATCCTGATGCAGTCCAAGCCTCATCAGCTATAATGCCTTAAAAATACCATTTAGCCACTTCAGTTTCCTCATCTAGAAAACAGGGTGGAATCCCTACCTCGCACATTACAGTAGAGAACACAACTGAAGTGGATTCCTGTGCTCTGAAGAGCCTACCACACAAACAGGCTGCCCAAAACAGCTCAAAGCGTCACACCCTCAGCTTCTGCTATGGAACTCGCCTGGGCATCAGACAGCTGTGTAGGCGACCACCTTTCCCCACCAGCCTGTGAGCAACTTGAAGGCGAAGACCATGCCTCACACTGAGTAACCTCTAATCCCACCTCGCCACTATTTACCCAATGCCTACATGGTGCCAAGACACCAGGCTCCATTTTCATATGGGTTGTCCTCTTTACTCCTCTCCACAGCAAGTTGTTTTGAGCCAGATTTTCCTCATCCGCACCGTTTCTACTTAGAATTTAAGAAATGGCAATGTATGTAAAGATATCAGTACTACACCTGGCACATAATAAAGGCACAGTAAGTGTCATCTCCCTTTTACAGGTAAGGAAACAGAAGAGCAAAGACCTTAAGCCGCTGGGGTCAGTAAATGTCCAACATTTTGACTAAACATTTGACCAAGTCAGGCTTAAATTCCAGGTAGCCAGCATGCTTTCAAGCGCCCAACCTAGCGCCTGGCACGTAACAAGCGGAGCTCAATGGATCGTGAGCAGAATCTAGACTCAATGAAGTTAGCCCTGGCTGGTGTGGCTCAGTGGATTGAGCACAGGCCTGTGAACCAATGGGTCACCAGTTCGATTCCCAGGCAGGGCAGATGCCTGGGTTTTGGGCCAGGTCCCTGGTTGTGGGTGTGGGAGAAGCAACGCGTAGATGTATCTCTCACACATTAATGTTTCTCTCCCTCCCTTCCCATCTCTCTAAATAAATAAATAAAATCAATGAACGTTGCAAGAGAAGAGGTGGCGTGTGGCCCCTTAACCTCTCTATACCAGGAGTAGCTGCATCCACTTCACAGGGCTGTTCTTGAGAACGGGGCGCGAGGATATCTGCAAAGGTCTCGGCATAGTGTCAAGCACAGAATAAGGGCTCTGTAAGTGGTAGCTATCCTTGTCCTTGTTTTACAAATGAAAAAGCAGAGGCAAAGAGATGAAGAAACGTGCCCGCTATCGCTCAGCTAGTAAGCGGCTGAGCCAGGACTCGACCTAAGCAGCCTTACCCCAGAGTCTGCTGGCTCTTACTCCAAACGCCCAGTAGAGCACCTTGCACCCAACATGCTAGGGCCAGTAACCTCCACAAGGTGCTGAACCCTGCCCAGATAATAACAGTCACAAGTGTCCGGAGGAGCCCGAGGGGAGAACGGCTGGCTGCACTGGAAGTCTGGGCCCTGGGGCCCTGGCCGGCGGAATACCTTAAACCTTCCCGGGCCTCAATCTCCTTTTCTGAGAAATGGGGATAACACTGTCTCCAACCTCAAAAGCGCCATCAGAGGCCCGGGCCAGCAAAGCCAGGCTCAATAAAGAAGCTAGAGGGGCCTCAGCAGTGAGTGGGAAAGAGGACAGCCGGGGGGAGGGTCCCAGAGGATTGGGGAAGGAGTGTTTACCTTTGCGGAGCTCGCGATGCCACACCGAGACGATGGGTCCCGCGTGCTTGCGGTGGTGGATAAGCCACAGGGACAGGGTCTGCACGCTCTGCTGAGAGTTGCTCAGCTCCGATAGCTTCTTTTCCAGCGCCGACTCCGAGAAGGAGGACATGGTGGCGGCGGTGAGGCCCGGCAGGGAGCGGCCTGGGCCGCCCACTGCGGCGGGAAGAGCGACGGCTCGAGGCCGGGGCCCCACCGGACCTCCTGCGGGACTCTTCACTGACTGACAAGACAGCCAGGCGGACAAGGGGGGAGGGGGATGGGTCTCCGCAGTAACAGCCGCCCGCGCCGCCGCCACAAGATGGCCACCGACCTCTCACCCCGCTGCGAGAGCAGGGTCAAAGGGCAAGGGCCGGAGTAGCTGGACAGTGCGAGGCCTCAAAACTGTAGAAACGCGCCTCCAATGGCGGCGGAGGCCTCTTTGAATCTCGTTCAGGGCACTTCGACAGCCACAGACCGGGAAAGACACGCAGTTTGGCGGCCTCCGGAAGGCGCTTTGACCGCTCGCGCCCGCACGCCGGCGCAGTGAGTCTTACCGGAACCCTTTCTCCCGGTCCCGCTGAACCTTTCTCGCGCGGTGCGGCGCGCCAGTTACGCGTCACTTCCGGCGGGGCGGAGGAGGCGGGAGAGGGAAAGGCTGGAAGACGAGGTAAGGGAAGAGTGGCGGGAGCTAGAGGGAGACCAACAGGAGGGGGATCTTGAGGGGACACCAACGCTGAGAGATAATGACCTGGATTTATGAGGGGAGATGTGCTCACCTGGCATACCCTAGGCCACACTCTTCTTCCATGTACACCGATCTCTGGCCGCCCTCCCCCCAAAACTTTTTGCTTTACCAAGCCTCCCACGTGCACTTTTCACGCCCCCATGCCACGGCTCTGGCTGTTCTTTTTCCAAAGGTGACGCCCCCCTTTTCTCACCTGATGAGCTCCCGTTGGGCTCCAGATCCACCCTTTAATGTCCAGTTCTGACGTCTAGTCTGTGGCAGCACCTCCACAAAACACACTGTTCTGCCCTTGGCTCTTACTTGGTTGCTTTATTCGGGAAAGTACTTGCTGCCCTTTGGGGGTCCATTTGACTGTGCCTCAGATTTAATGCTAACTTTCGGAGGGCAGAGAAGTCATTGAGTCCATTGACCTTTAAGAAACAATATTTCAGGCTCGGAACCTCTTTCCTTTTAAAAACCATGTTAAATTCCAGTTAAGAAATCATCAGGGAAATTTGTCCATCTGCTCTGAAGTTAGGTTATAGTAGACATGTGGAATTTTAGACTTTCCTGATCATCACAGAACTTAACCAGAACTTAACCGGCAGACTCTGGTTAGGAGATAGTCTCTCCTAGTTGATGCCTGTTTCTGCTTTTAACGCACTGTCTTGTAGCTCTTTGCCTAGATGCTTCTCTTCCAGACCAGACTCATAATCGTGGTCAATGTGGTGAGCAGTCGGTGTAGGCTAGACAGTGTGTTCACGCAGTAACTCATTTAATCCTTGGCAAAAAGCTGTGAGGGAGGTAGTTTGTAATTCCTGTTTGGCAAGTGAGGAAACAGGCTGAGAGAGGTTAGGTGACCTCCCCAAGATCACTTAACGGAGATTAGAGGGGACTGCATCTTACCTGTCTTCTTTACCCCAGCACCTGATTGACAGCTGAATGAGTGAATGTAAAAGATGAATGGCGTAAAATCACACAGTCAGCATCTAATAATTATAACCTAGGCATTAGTGTATCCATCTTTGTGTATTAAGTAACAGTGTCATGTACTGAGCTCTTTTATACCAAACTACTTTGTATTAAGCACATTACATACATTCTTTTATTTAATTTTTACAACAGTTCTTTGGGGTGGGGGTTATCACTATTTGATAAATGAGAAAGCATGAAACATGGGTGAGTAATCTGTCCAGTGTCACCTGGACAGAAGAAATGACAGAGCCAGGAATCAAATCAAGGTTATCTGATATCTGATCCCAAATTCCTCACTCCTGCACCAGTGATCATTCATTCTTTCAGCAAATAATTTTGAACATCTATGTCTGAAGTATTACTCTAGGCGAACAGTCAGAGTCTATGTCACAAGAAGCTTAACTTCTATAGGGGAAGGTGGATAAACAAACTTGCCAGTATGAAATGAGTCAGAAAGTGATGAGTGCATTAAATAAAAAGAAGGGTAAGGGGGATGAGGAATGCAGGTGTGGCGAATAGGAGTCTATTATGTGTGGGGGTCATCGAAGGCCTCCCCGATACTGTGACATTCGACCAGAGCCCTGAAAAAAGGGAGAGAACAAGCCATATGCTATGGGGTGGAAAGTTGATCCAGACAGAGGGAAAACCAAGTACAAAGTTTTGAGGTTAGACCACTTTGGGCAGTTTTGAGGAACACCAAGGAGGACCATAAGGCTGAAGTGATATGAACCAGAAGGCTGGAAATGAGCTCAGACAGCAGCCAGGGACCATATTGCCATATTGCGTGGGGAGTTGTAGGGGATATTAAGGACTTTGAATATTACTGAGTGAAATGAGAGTCCTTTGGATGATTATGAGTAAAAGAGGAGCATTGTGGCTGATGGGTAGGAAATAGACAGTAAAGGTGCAAGAGTTGAAGCAAGAAGACCAGTTTGGCAGCTGCTGTAATAACCCAGGTGAAAGGATAATGCACAGCATGGTTTAGGTTGTGAGGAAGGTTCAGATTATGAGGATAGAGTGGTACCTCTGTACTCGTCGATAGTTTATTCCAGTGAGTGGCAGGCAAGCAACAACTGATGAACCGTCTTTTCTTGCAGGGTCTCGTTGTGTCTCATAGAAGTTCTACCAAGTGCGACAAGTGGCAAGCAAGCACTGAGTGCTGAAACGTTTTTTCTCATCAAAAACATGACCAGTAATAGGTTTGACGAGTTCTGAAGCTGACAAGTACCGAGGTATGACTGTATTTTAGAAGAGGTAACAGAATTTGTTTACAGATTAGAAATGAGGTATAAAAGAAGACGAGTTTATACCACCCCAAGGTTTTAGCCTAAGCAATCATAAGAATGGATTTTCCATTTACTGAGTGGAGGAAAGAGCTGGCTTGGGGAATAAGAGTGGGAATTATGCAAATAAGATTTGTACATGTCCATTTGGAAATGCCTATTCAAGTAGAGGCGTTGTTTTGTGGGCGATTGACTGGATTTATGGGTCTGGAGTTCAGGGGAAGGATCTGGGCTAGAGGTATAAATATGGGGGTCATGAGAGTGAGGAAGTGCAGAAAGAAAAGGGGCCCATGTGACTGAGTCCTAGGACACTTCAACACTTAGAGGTCTGAAAGGTGAGGATGATACAATCCTGTGGTTTTTCTTCTTTAGCCTGTTAATATTATTTACACTGACTGATTTTAAAATATTGAGCCCACCTTTTATCCCTAGAGTAAACCCTAGTTCGTCATGATGTATAATTCTTTTCACACGCTGCCAATTATATTTCCTAATATTTTTTTCAGGATTGTTGCTGAGGGAAGTTGGCCTGCAAGTTTTTTTCCTTTAATTTTTGTATTGTCTTTGTTGGGTATGGTGGTATCAGGATGATACAGGCTTCATAAAATGGATTGGAAAATATCTCCTCCTCTTCCTTTTCTAGAAGATTGTGTAGAGTTGGTGCTAATTTTCATTTTTTTATGTTTTGAATGTTTTATTTTATTTAAAAAATTTTTGAAAATATTTATTTTTCCATTACAGCAACATACAATATTACATTAGTTTCAGGTGTACTCCCCAGTGATTAGACGTTGTATACCTCACTTAGTGATCATCCCAGTAAATCTTGGACCCATCTGACACCATACGTAGTTACTAGAATATTATTGACTACAGTTCTATGCTGTACTTTACATCCCCATGACTATTCTGTAACAACCAATTTGTGTTTCTTAATCCCTTCACTTTTTTTCACCCATTCCCCCAACCCCACTTCCATCCGGCAACCATCAAAAAGTTTTCTGTAACTATGAGTCTGTTTCTGTTCTCCTTGTTCATTTATTTTATTTAGATTCAGTTGTTGATAGATATGTATTTATTGCCATTTTATTGGTGATATCTTTTTATCTTTTTATTTCCTTAAAGAAGATGTTTTAACATTTCATGTAATACTGGTTTGATGGTGATGAACTTAGCCTTTTTTGTGTAGGGGGGGATCTGGGAAGCTCAATTCTAAATGATAGTTTTCTTGGGTAGAGTAATTTTGGTTGTAGGTACTTGCTTTTCATCAGTTTGAATATTTTGTACCACTCCCTTCTGGCCTGCAAAGTTTCTGCTGAGAAATCAGCTGAGAGTCTAATGGGAGCTCCCTTTTAGGTAACTAACTGCTTTTCTCTTGCTGCTTTTAAGATTCTCTCTTTGTTTTTAGCCTTTTGCATTTTAATTATGATGTGTCTTGGCATGGGCCTCTTTGGGTTCAGCTTGTTTGGGACTCTGTGCTTCCTGGACTTGTTTATTTTCTTCACCAGGTTATGGGAGTTTTCTGTCATTATTTTTTCAGATACATTTTCAATTTCTTGCTCTCCCTCTTTTTGCAGCACATCCACGCTGCAATTGTTGGTATGCTTGAAGTTGTCCCAGAGGCTCCTTACACTATCTTCATTTTGGTGTTTCTGCTTTCTTTTTACTGTTCTCATTGGTTGTTTTTTCTTTCCTTATATTCCAAATAGTTGATTTGATTCTCAGCTTCATCTACCTTTACTGTTGATTCCCTATAAATTATTCATTTTAGCTAATGTACCTTCATTTATGGCTATTTCTTTTTTTATGGTTTCTGTGTCCTTTTTCATGCTGTTGAAGTTCTCACTAAGTTCCTGGAGCATCCTTATAACCATTGTTTTGAACTCTGTATCTGGTAGTTTTCTTGCCTCCATTTCATTTTTGGAGATTTCTCCTTTTCTTCCATTTGGGACTTGTTTCTTTGTTCCCACATTTTGGCTGCATCTCTATGGTTGTTTCTATTTATTAGGTAGAGCTGCTACATTGCCTGGACTTGGTAGAGTAGCCTTGTGTAGTAGGTGTCCTACAGGGCTCAGTGGTGCAGCCTTTCCAGTCACCTGAGCTGGGTGCTCCAGGTGTGTTCCTGTGTGGGCTGGGTGCACTGTCCTGTTGTAGTTGAGCCTTGGTTGCTTTTGGCATCACTGGGAGGGATTGTCTGCCCTGGGCCCATTGGCTGCGAGGACTGGCTCTGACTAGAGCAGGGGAACTGCTGTGCAAAAGCCGACCCTGGGGACCAGGACTTTGGTGCTGTCCAAGTCCACCCCTTGAGTGTGTCACGTCACTTGTAGAGGTGGTAGGGTTGTAATCCATCATGGTCTGAAGCTGTCAACCAGGTGTACTGGCTCTGGTGCCTCCCAGGAGGTACAAGGTCAGTCACTTCCTGTGCCCTGCCTGGGGCCATCCAGCACAAGCTGCAGAGCCATCTAAAGATGGCTGCTACTTGTGTTGCACTTGGAGGGCCCAGGAGAAGCCTAGCTTTGAACCAAGTCTTGCTGCAACTAGTGCTGGGCCTGGGACCATTTAGCAA